GCGAGGGAGGGCGAGTAGGAGAAGACATGGGAGAAGAAGAAAATAAAGAAAGAAAGAAAGACCGGTGCGCAGACGCGGCGGAGCACGGAGAACGGAAGTTTTTTTTAAAAAAAGGAATGGGCAGCAGATACGCGACGCGACGCCAGAGCCGCGGCGCACCACGTTGCCAGCGGGCGAGGAAGGTCGGGCGATGACGGCGACGCACCCGCCCAAGAGCAACGCGCGAGCGCGAGCGCACGACGACACCCGACTCCTGACCCCACACGACGACGCGCACCGCAATCGCACACGACACGAACCCAAAAAGCGAAAAAAGGCAAAAAGAGGAAGAAGAGAAAGAGGAGAGCGTGCGTGTGGCGTGCACACCCACGCCGCCCTGCCCATCGCACACGTCCCCTTCCCTCTTCCGTGAAGCGAGCCGAAAACGACAAAGCAGGAAAAAGAGCGCCCAAAATCCCAAGTCCCAAGTTCGCGACCTCGCGGCCGCGGCGGGAGCTCCGCGCGAACACCGCCAGCCAGCCAGCTGAAAAAGGAAAGAAGGAGAGTGCAATGGAGGGAAAGCAGGAAGACAGGAATGCGATACGAAAGCAAAGCAACCCGCACCCCGCACCCCGCGCGAACGAATCCCCCCAGCATCCCTCCAGCATCCAACGCAAGAAAACAAATGCAAAACCGCAGGAATTAAATAAAAATAAAAACAGATGCTATCCATCCAGCATGCAGCATCCGGCGTCCAGCGTCCAGCATCCAGCGCGCGGTCCTGTTGTCTGTCCTCTGTCCTCTGTCCTCTGTCGTCTAGGGCAGAGGAAGGGGCAAAGGCAGGGGGAAGACAGGAATGCGATGAAATGATGGAGAGTATGGCCGTGGCGGTAGCAGAGCAGAGCAGAGCAAAGACATGAAATGAGAATGAAAACGCCAACGGCAACGGTGCGCCCACACTGAGGGAACGACGAAGCGCAGAGCTAACGACGAAGCGCGTCCCCCGCCGCAAGAACGCAAAAACGCGCACACACACCCGCGGGCCGCGGCACGGGGGCTGCGTCGCATCGCAATGGGGCGGGGTAGCCCGCGAAACCGGGCCATGATATTTCTCCGCGGCAAGGCGAGGCGTGGGAGGGCGAGTGGGAGCGAAGGCATAGTAAGGCGAGGCGAGGCGAGGCGAGGGAGGGCGAGTGTGGGAGAAGACAAGGAGGAAGAAGAAGGAGATAATGAAAGAACGGTGCGCAGACGCAGCACAGCGCGGCGGAGTACGGAAGCTCTTTTTGAAAAAAAAAGGCAAATGGGTAACAGCAACACAGAACACAGACAGCGAGGAACCGCGCACCACGCACCACGCACCACGTTGCCAGTCGGCGAGGGAGAGAAGGCGCCATCGGCGAGGCACCCGCGTGAGCGCACCGCACGAGCGCGCCGCCCGACTCCACACGAACAAGAGCCGCCAAAAAAGGCAAAAAAAAAAAGAAAGAAAAAAGGCAAAAAGAGAAAGGGGAGATCGTGGCGTGCACACCCATACCCACAAACCGAAAACGACGAAGGAGGAAGGGAAGAGGAAGGAAACGAAGGAAAAGAAGAGGAAGCAGAAAGAGGAAAGGGAAAAGGAAGAGGAAAAAGGAAAGGGAGAGGAGAGAAAAGGGAAAGGAAGGGAAAGGGAAAAATAGCGTGTAGCGTGGCGTGCGTGTACATACACCGCCCCAGCCCGACGCTCCTGCTCTCGGAAGACAAACGAACGGTCGCCGCACACACTGGCAGCACATCCCGGCCGACCGCGCACACGGAACAGTGCGCGTCGCAGATGGCTCGCGTCGCGCAGAAGCAGACGCAGACGCAATGCGAGACAAGAAACCAATTCAGGGAGTAAAAACTCGCAACACATACCCAAAATGCCGCTTATACCCTGCTCGTCGAGGCCCAGCATCCACTGCAGGCCCTCGAGCTGGTACGGGTGGAGGGTGGCGCCGGTTATGAGTTTGGGCTGGGGGAAGGCGGGCGTTGCTCCTTCGGCGGAGTCGGGTTTGGGCTGCGCGGGTTCTGTGGGGAGAATAAGGGAGGTTAAAGAATTGAAGAGCGCACTAGCACCAGACGCGAAACGCGACGCACCCTCCTCTTTTTCGTCCTCCTCGTCCACCCGCCTGCGCTTCGCCGCTTTCTTGCCCCTGCCGTTGCCCTTGGGTGTCGATTTTCGTGTCGAATCATCGGTGGCAAAAGACGCCGCATGCCGTGCGCGCGCCTCGCGCATCTGGCGCTCCAGGATGCTGCTGTACAAGGCACTGCGCTCCAGCACGTGCGTGAGGCGCGAGAGCTGCGACTCGGTGAGCTCGCCCTCTTGCGTCGGGGGGTCCTCGCCGGCGGGCGCTGTGTCGTTTGGCTCGGCTGCGGCAGCGGAGGACGCGTCCCGGCCGAGCGCGTCCACGCCCGCGTCGCGCAGGGCCGCCGCGATGGCGACGGCGTCGGGCGACTCGGACTCGTCTTCGCCGTAGTCGGAGATAGCAGCAGAAGAGGAAGGGTGGGCACCGGGGGCCTGCGTGAGCTCAGCTGCAGGTAACGGTACGCGACAAACGCAGGGAACACGTACCGCATGCATCTCCACATCCTCTACACCATCCTCACTCGGACTGGACGACGCGGGGAACGGGCCAGGCGAGCTCGGCGCCGTGCTGCCCGGGACCGAGCTCCACAGACGCGAGGGCGGCGGGGAGGACCCGGGCGTGTCGCCTTCGACGGTTTTTCTGAGGACGTCCATTTTATTTGAAGTGTGATTCGATGTAAAGGAGAGGAGAGAACAAGGAGGCGGTGTGTGGCGCTGATTGGTCAGGGACGCGCTCGTCACGCAGACGGGTGGGTGATGTCACAAAGTCATGATCGCCGGCCCCTATCTCTCGTGTCATCCCCACTCCCACGCAGCACTTCTTACCCACTCGTGATCATGGCTCGGTGGCACAGCGGTTAGTGCATCTGCCATTGATGAAATGATAAAACAGGGCTCTGCAGAAGACGCCTGTTCGACTCGGCCCCGGGCCATATTTGGTGCAGATGACGCTTTTTTGGTTTACCTTTCGTCTAGATCCTGACAGAAATCTTTTTTTCTCTCACCTGCCTGTCCTGAGCCAATCTTCGGGGTCGCTTACCAGTGAAGTTTATCATCTTGATGTACGGTATTGCTAAAGGCTTTCTCGAATGTTGGGTTGGAAGAGAAGTAACCGAGCCTCGGCCGAAATGAATACTGTAATTGGTCCGAGACTTCGTTTAAATGAACTGTGGAACTGTCCATGTACTCGACCAACAGCAGGTGAGAGCATATAGGCTCGGTAGTGGAGCGTCCACACCCTCGATAAATATCAAGACATTTAAATTGGGGGGCACCCGTTCGATTCGGGTCCGCGCCATGTTCGGTGAATGCACGCTTTTTTGCTCCCACCTGTACTGTCCAATACTATTTATCCAGCCACAATATCTGCTAGTCTCTTATAAACAGACGCTACAGCCGAAAACTTGTACCTCGTTTGTCGTATATATTTGCTAGGCTAGGGAAATTCAATCAAGCCTCAACCAAAGTACTGAGACTGCGTGTGAATGTAAAGAACTGTCCCTGTATGCACCCACAGAAGGAGAGTGATGAGGCTCGGTGGTGGAGGGTCCATACCCACAAAATTGTGAACATCGTCGTGAGGATTTTGTGGGAGCGCCCGTTCGACTCGGGCCCAAGGCATTATTGAAGAGAGTGATTACAAGTTTTTTTCCTTCAAGTTGCAAGTTGCACAGCCAAATGCCCCCTCAGACTTTGTGAGAGTGCAGAGGACAGAGTGTATGTATTCACCCAGTCCAACTCATTGACACCGAACACAGGCACTGTTGTGTCGTCGAGGGAGCCGACCACTTAAGGATCCGGAGCAACAGCCACAATCCATGGCCGGGTAGCTGTATCTTGGCTGGCTTTTATTCGATAATTCCATGTATTGAAGCACAAAACGAGATAGGAAAGGCTCGGTGGTAGACGGTTCACGCTCACAACAAATTGTCGATTAGATACGGAGACTTGCGAGAGACGCCCGTTCAACTCGGGCCCGAGCCGTGACAGGATCGACCGCTCTTTTTTTTCGTCCAACTAACTTGAATCGATCTCAATTATTTGTGGAAGTGGCACCCACCCGAGCCGGGGCCGAGCTATGGGCCATTTCGTGGAGAAACTTCGGCTTTTTTTTCCACGTTTTTCGAGGTCCTCCCTCTTATTCCCTCATGCGGTGTAACTAGTCAATAAGCTGTTGTTATAATATATCCACGGGTTCAACCACACCCAGGTCATAACGAAGAGTTCACCTCCGTTGAAGTGCGAGTGTATACACTCACCTATGGAGGGGAAAGGCTCAGTGGTGGGGGGTCCACACCCTCAAATAAATTCGATGAAAATCTTGGGTGTTTGTGGGAGCACCTGTTCAACTCGGGTCCGAGCCATAGCGGGTGTATGCATTCTTTTTGTTTTGTCATCTGTCTCTTCTGGGAACCTTGAAACTTAAAGATATTGTACTCATCCCAAGTAAAGCACCCTTAAATATGGGTTCACAAAATTCAACCAAGCTGGCCAAAGTGAATACCATAACTGCACCGAGGCCGAGTGTGACTTCATTTACCGTAAATGAACTGCAAATCCGTGTTTTCGATCTCGGAACGTGAGTGATAGGGCTCGGTGGTGGATGGTCCACGTCCTCAATAAATATCAACACATTTATGTTCGGGGAGCACCCGTTCGACTCGGGCCCGCGCCATGAAGAGAGTGATTACAAGTTTTTTCTTCCAAATACGTCTTGAGATTTTGGGGAATGCAGAGGACGGTGTATGTATCCGCCCGGTTCAACCCACCGAACACAGGCACTACTACTGTTGTGTCGCCGAGGGAGCCGACGGCTTGGGGAGCAACGGCCACAATCCTTATCCATGGCCGGCTAGCCGTATTTTGGTTGGCTTTTATTTAATAATTGTATTGAAGCACAAAACGAGATAGGAAAGGCTCGGTGGTGGATGGTTCACGCTCACAACAAATAATCGATGAGACACGGATACTTGTGAGAGACGCCCGTTCGACTCGGGCCCGAGCCATGCGGAGTTTATTACTTGAGGGTTTCGTTTTAACTACGGAAAGTATCTACCCTGTGCCCACAGAGCTGCCAAATCCCCCCTCCAGACTTTGTGGGAATGCAGAGGCCAGAGTGTATGTATCCGCCCGGTTCAACCCATCGACACGTGCACTGGACACAGGCACTGTCGCCAAGGGAGCCCACGGCTCGGGGAGCAACAGCCATAATCCTTATCCATGGCCCGGTAGGTTTATTTTGGTTGGCTTTTATCCTTGCTTTTATCTAATAATTCCATGTATTGAAGCACAAAACGAGATAGGAAGGGCTCGGTGGTGGACGGTTCATGCTCACAACAACTTGACAAGCGTTTGCTATGGATACTTGTGAGAGACGCCCGTTCGACTCGGGCCCGAGCCGTGACAGGATCAACCGTTCTTTTTTTTTTTTTTTTTTTCGTCCAAATAACTTGAATCGATCTTAATTATCTGTATCTGTAGAAGCACCCGCCCGAGCCGGGGCTGAGCCATGCATGGGCCAATCGTCGTGGCGAAACTATTGTCTTTTCCACTCTTTCTCTTTCTTTCGCTTTTCGAGGTCCTCCCTCGCTTATTCCCAACTAGTCAACAAGTTATAATATAAGTATACGCGGGTTCAACCACTGCCTGGTCATAACGAAGAATTCACCTCCGTTGAAGTGCAAGCGTATACACCCACACGATGAGATGGGAAAGGCTCGGTGATAGAGGGTCCACACCCACAAAAATTGTGAACAACATCGTAGGATTTTGTGAGAGCGCCCGTTCGACTCGGGTACGAGCCATGGCCCGGAGGTTAGGCATACTTTTTTTGACCGCCTACTTGTCTTCTGGGCAGCCTCCTTGAAATTTGAATTCCAATATCATGCAGTTATCCAAAGTAAAGCACCGAGGTCCTCCTCATGCGGGGTAACTAGTCGTTGTTATAACATATACGCGGGTTCAACCACAGCCTGGTCATATGAAGAATTCACCTCTGTTGACATGCGAGTGTATACACCCACACTATGAGATGGGAAGGCTTGGTGGTGGAGGGTCCACGCCCTCAATAAATGTCAAGATATTCATCTTTGGGAGCGCCCGTTCAACTCGGGTCCAAGCCATAGCGGGGGGTAAGCATTCTTTTTGTTTTGTCATCTGTCTCTTCTGAGCAGCCTCCTTGAAACTTGAATTCCAGTATTGTACTCATCCCAAGTAAAGCACCCTCAAATTTTGGGTTGGTAAAATCCAACCAAGTCTTCGCCAAAGTGAATATCGTAATTGCACTGAGATTGAGTGTGACTTCATTTAAGGGCCTGTTCGGGTGCTCTGCTTTGCCGAGGCAGATCACCAAAAATAGAGCATATGCTTGATCGTCGCATCTGCAACGCCAAGCGGAGCCGGCGGGTGTTCGGCGGGCTGATCTGCCATCTTTTCTTTGCTTGTCACGTCTGCCTTGTCTTAAATCTACGCCGATTCTTCTCTCCCGTACACGCTATGTCTGCCAGACGTAAAAACAAAGATAAAGATAAGGACAAGGGCACTGATAAGGCCAGCACCCGTTGCGAATGGGACGAAGATGCCGACAGAATCCTGGTCACCAAATTGCGCGAATGCAAGGAGCTGGGAATGCAGTCGGACAGTGGATGGAAACCTCAAGTCTGGAATCTCTGTGCTGAGGCTCTGAAGGATACGCCCGGGCCTCCCAAGACTTCTCAGAAAATTCAGGACCACTGGGGTAAATCGGTGCGTGAATTGATTCTGCCAAATGTTGTTACGTTGACGTCGTACTTCTTTGTTAGCTTAAAGCTGGATTAAAATCTGTCAGAGCTGTACGCGGGGCCTCGGGGTTTGGGTGGGACAATGAGCGCAAGATGATAATGAACTGCGAAACGGTCCGTGTATACACCCACGAAATGCGAGAGAGAAGGCTCGGTGGTGGAGGGTCCACACCCTCAAATAAATTCGATGAAAATCTTAGGTGTTTGTGGGAGCCCCGGTTCAACTCGGGTCCGAGCCATAGCGCCGAGTGTAGTCATACTTTTTTTTTGTCCCCTACCGGCCTTCAGAGCTCCGCGGACACAGCTTAGTATCCAATATTATATCCAAAGTACCTTACCCTCAAATTTTAGGTTGGCTAGATTGAACCAAGCCTCGGCTGAAGTCAATGGCCCACGGAATCGAGCGGCAGGATGCAAACTGTCCACGCATGCACCCGCAGCAGGCGAGAGGATACAAGGCTCGGTGGTGGACGGTCCACACCGTCAATAAATTCGGAGAAAGTAGTTATTATTTGGGGGAGCACCCGTTCGACTCGGGCCTCCACTTCAATGACAACACGAGGTTAGGAAAATTCAACCAAGCCGGGCCGCAGTGAAGAATTGCACTGAAAGCGAGTGAAAATTCAAATGTCTACACCCACACTATGAGATGGGAAAGGCTTGGTGGTGGAGCGTCCATACCCACAAAAATTGAGAACATCAGCATGAGGATTTTGTAGGAGCGCCCGTTCGACTTGGGTCCGAGCCATAGTGACAACAAGAATATTCTGTTTTCCTCACCTGCCTGTCCTGAACGAACCTTCGGGGTCGCTTACCAGTGAAGTTTAGCATGTTGATGTACAGTATCGCTAAAGGCTTTCTCGAACGTTGGGTTGGAAAATCCAACAAGCCGGGCCGAAGTGAAGAATTGCACTGAACATTTAGAATACAGTCGTTAACCGGGAAGCGCAACATTTAGTTTTGCGCCGCCTATATGTCGTCCATTTCTAGACCAAATTATGCGCTCCAAAGGGCCAAGTGACTCATAAGGTTACGAATTCCAACCTCCAATTTACTTCTCGGGGTTTGAGCACTTGACGGGCCCATACGGCGTCGATCTTTCCGGGAGGCCAAATTTGGCCAAATAACGTGGAAGCGCAACAAGTTATGGTCAATCGTTGAGGCCAATGCAGTACATATTTTCAGCCAAGAAAATTCATGAGCATTGTCACCAACCCCAAAAACATCTTAACTCACTCAGAGTTGTATATTTCTGGCTTCTAGCACTCGGGCGCCATCACCGCAATTGGTGCTTGTTAGATGGTCAATTTTACATGGCTCGTTATGGAGCTATACTTGGATTGCTTGGCTAGATATTTTTTATGCCATGTGATATGATGCCCTACCACGTCCTCGGGAGTTTTTAGCCCAGCGGCACCACTAGGTGGTGTCAAAGGACTTGAAAAACCTTGAAATTTGACCATTTTCCCCGTATTTGCTCAATAAAACTCTTATTTCTGGGTCATCGCAAATGTTTTGACCCTCGGGATGTGTCCTATCGTGCTCAGCGACCTCAAAAACAGGGGTGTACGGTCCGAGGACGGTCCAGCCGTGCTTGTAAGCTGTTTGCTTGGCGATGTTGCGCTACGTGGTGTTGTTGCGCTTCCCGGTTAACGACTGTAGGCTGCTAAATAAGTGGAAGGTGAATGCATAGAGTGATTCTAAACATGAAGAAGAAGGTTTCTGCCTACTCAGATCGTGTGCCATGACCCCGCTAATTTTCCTACAACTCGGAGTTTGCCGTAGTATGTTTGGTTGGCAGGTTGAAAAGGTTCGGGCAGGTTGCACAGGTCAGCTGACAAATGAGTGAAAGGTGAGTGATTCTACACATGAAAAGGAAGGTTCCGTTGATGGTACGTGCGCGATCAACAATGGCGCAATCCACACGTGGACGTTCGTTGATCGCCACTTTTCTTTCTCTCTTCCCCCCACCTACGTCCCTCGCCCTCTCACTCCAGCACCGTCGACTGCAGCTACAAACACCAAGCGCCTGGTAAACCACTTCGAGTCGCAGAACCTCACCACTTTCCGTCAAGCGATCGGACGCAGACCACTTCACCGGCGAAAGGACCTCGAATCGAAACGCGTGCGGCACCAGACTTTCAAAACCGTCGTGTGATCGACCACCGCGCATCAGGCCGCCATAATCCATGCGCGCTGTGCACATCCCAACCTGCAAATCTCTTGTCCAGCGCACCACGCAATCCAATTCCCCTTCCACCCTCACCAGGGACGAGCCGTAGCCCACCTGCCCAACGATCTTTGCTGGTGGATAGCGTCTCAAGCAAGCCTTCACCAGCCAACGCTACGCGTCGTCAAGGCTACCGATGCGGCGCCACCCGCGGACAAGAGCGGTGGCGACATCGCAAATGTTCATGGTGCCACATCCTCAAATCGACTGAACCACAAGTCTTCTCGGCCATTTCAAGCCCTCAAGTGCCTCAAAATCTCAAGTCTTATTCTTCAAACCGGGCAACCCTTTCAATATCAAGTATCGCGTATCTTCGGTTCCTTGACTTTTGAGTCCAACGGCTACAACACCGCAACGCTTCTGAGGAGGGGAAGCAGGCGATGGTATCGTGCAAGTTCATCTGTGAGTGTCCCATTCTTTCTTCCGCGATACCATAGTATTGCTATCAGTGTTCCCCTCATGTCTTTTGAATCATTGTCGCTGTGTAAAGTACTAGTACAGTGAAATATATACTCTTTTTGACTATCTTTGTGTGTCTTGAGTGTCTTACAGGTGGAACTTCCGCAAGACTCGAAACGTCTTGCGCATCTTTGACAAGATGAAGGTCTTTGAAAAGAAAACGGGATCTACTTGCGAAAGATGCAACATCTTGCACCAAAATGCGTCTTTCACGTCTTTCACGTCTTGTCCAAGACGTGAAAGACGCGAAAGACGAAAGTGCACATTTACTGATGTCTTCGTTTCCTGTTTTGCGAGAGCCTTGAAATGAAGTATATTCTCCACTGGTTGGTCCGAAGCACTCTGCACCGCTGATAAAGACTAAATCGTAGTCATTGCATAGCCTGAACAGAAATCGACCTCGGGCTGACATAGGTTTGTCGTCTTTTGATATGCGGACCGGGTCATTGGCGGAAGGGGTGTTAGACGAGGTTCGTGCATTCAAATCACCTTTGAGGAGAATTTGGAAATTGCCTGCACGCGCTAGAGCCAGAGAGGAAGCCAATGCCAGGCAAGGATCACGGTCAAGATCACCGGCCCAGTTTGTTGACTCCGGTAGAAGGTAGGCGTTGTAGAAAATGATGTTGCCCATTTGATGGGCCATGAAATCGGGGCCAGAAAGATCTTCCCTTAGTTTTGACGGGACGCGCGCAGAGTTTGATATTGTTGCAACACCACCCCAGGACTTACCAAAGTCAGATTTGGGTCGACGAGTGCGTGAAGCGATTGAATATCCGTCTGGTAGCCGAACAGTATCATGCTGTTGAGGACGAAGGTGAGTTTCTTGAAAGAAATTGAAGTCATACTTTTGGAGTTCTGTTTGCGTTTCGGGGCAGCTCATCAGAAGAATAAAAGAACCATCTATATTCCAACTTCTAATACTAATTAGAGAGG